GCCGAGCAGGCGCATCTTTCGGCACATAAGAAGGGTGATCCATGCGCACCTGTGGTCCAACAACGCCAGGGCCGACGACTCTATCTGCAGAGTCGCATGGACCAAGTTAATCCAACCCAGATGCTTCGGCCGACTGGGATTGCTCGATCCAAGATTGCAGATTATTGCGTTGCAGCTTCGGCAGGTAATCTGGGCTATGCTGCGCACTAAGGGAAGGGTTTGGCAAGAAGTCACTCGGACGCACTTGGCCTACACACTTCGAGGGAACTGGTGGACCTGTGCTTCATCAGCAGTCTTGCCATGGGCAACATCCTGGTCCCACAACTTGATTCTTTGGAAGAAGATTTGGTTGAGGTGTCGGCTACCAACAACTGCAGATGCAGTCTACACGCAACTGATTTTTTAATAAGTGCTTTATCTGCGATAGAGATGGGAACCCCTTTCCATGGCAGGGACCGCAAGGAGCCTTTGGCTGGAAGTGGGCTGAACGGGGAATTTATAAAATAGGCCACTTGTGGGATGAAGAGTGCAAGGACTGGCGAACTGACGAGGAAATGCAGCCCTGCATGGCCGGATTACGAGGATGCAAAGACTGGGTGATCTGAAGGATGTCATCCCCTCCCAGTGGATCCACCTGCTGCGAAAGGAGGACATAACGACTGGGGAATTGGTGAGGATAAAGGGAGATCGGGCGCCTGACAGGTTATACAGGGTGGAACAGGCCCAGCCGCATGGGAAATTGGAGGTCACTGAGTGGCACGTCAGACCGAGGTCGGGGCAGGAGGGATTGGGGGCCAAGCAGGACTGGCTCCCTAGCGCGTATGTGGATGGATAGATGGACACAGAATAGATGGAACAAGCAGTGCGCACTCATGGCAGCACTGCCAGATCAAAGCAGGCTGGCCTCTTGTGGCAAATCTACCACCTGGCAATCCCGACAGCACAGTAGCAAGCTTCTAAAAGCCGCTTTAAAGACCGGGCATGTGCTGCAGGATGTGAGCAGGAAGAAACCCTTCTCCACCTCTTTGTGCGATGCTCGGAGGTCCAGGCGATCTGGATGTGGTGGGCAGGGGAAATTGCAGACAAAACGCCCGAACGTTGATGAAACGGACGATGCTGCGATTCTTCTGGGCACCTTGATAAAGGTTAACAGATCGGGCTTTGGGGACCTGATGGCAGAAGAAATCGTGTGGGCAACGGTCTTGTGGGCCCTATGGACAATAAGGAACGAGCGATGCAGACAAGGCATGACTCCACCGTTGTGGGCATATCAGGAATGGGTAATGGAGAACATCAGGATCGCCCTGATGGCGGAGTTCCACCGGAGCAACCGTACCGGGAAAGCTAAGGCGACTGGATTCTGGAAGAGATGGGGTCCATATCCGCAGCTGGTGACTCGGCACCCCCACACAGAACGGCTGCAGTATGGCCCCGCCCTGCGACGCTATGTGCCCAGACGTGCCATGGGCGGAGAGCGGGCCTGACGAAGACAGGCCTGCATGACCACGACCGGATTCTGGAATGTACAAGTGATAGCAATTAGGTGGTTAACGAAGGGTTACCGCTGTTAGCGTACTATTCTAGGCCCGCTGCAGTAGTTTGTGTTCGATTAGGTAGGGGGGGGCTGGGAGGTAGGACGGGAGGGAGAGGGGGACGAGGGGACTCTCACATTGGCAAAAAGGACAACTTTGTGGTACAAGCTGAGGATTACTACTACTGAATGCAAGGCAGGATAAATAGGGTACTGAGAGCTTGGGAAGGGTGGACTGCCCGACGGAACTAAATCCGAGGGGAAGTATTGGAGGGCGACAGGGGAAAGACCAGGGGAAAGACTGGGAGTAAGATTAGGAAGACTCCATATGTAGGAAGCAGGAGACTAGTACTGCTAACGTTTGGTGCTTCTTGTGTTTTGTGGTCTTTGCGTTGTTCAAGTAGCTGTGACCAAGTTTGGGTTTTCCCGCCTGAGAGGCTGCTAGGAGGGCCTCCCCAGCGCCTTGCCTCTCCTGAGACTCTTCTGCTGCATGACTGGGTGCTGCCAGGAAGCTTCCCGTCCGGCAGAAGTCTGCCAGCAAGGCCATGGTATTTGGAGGGGGAGAGGGGTCGGACCGTGGCAGCCCCCCCCTTGAGTAGGTGTTACATACTTCAATGAGTATGGGCAGAACCAAAGATCAACCAATGTAGGATGAGCATATATGCAGCGGAAGTCTGATAAACGGACTGACTCACATAGACTGACTCAAGAATCACTCCACACACATACAATCGTGAGATGGTGGGGTCTGGGCCAAGCATGGACGATGCCCAGATCCCGCACACTCATACACAGATGAAAGGTGGGAGGAGAGACGAAGGAGGTGGGGGAGGTACACAGCACCAGTAGGTCACCGAAATAGAATCCGATAGGTCACCGATATGGTAGTCCAAAATGTCATCCAACAAGATCAAAATGTCGCGGACAATCAGCCACCAATGTCGGAGATACAGAGTCCAAATGTAACCGGTGTCCGAACTGTGATGCCGCCAAGTATCAACCCCAACAATCTCCAAGTCTCCAGTCCGGTAAGTACCACAGTCTCATACCACCGAAGTCCAACACTGATCTATGTCCAACTAGTATAAGTCTCCAATCTGAAGAAGAAGAAGAAGAAGAAGATGGAGTCTGAAGAGGTGAAGAAGAAGAAGAAGAAGAAGAAGAAGAAGAAGAAGAGAGAGTCGAGGAGGAGAGAGAGAGAGGGGGGACTGACGATGGGAGGGAGGAGAGAACCTCCCGCTCCGTGATACCTCAGGCGGCGATGGCCGCCGATCTGGCTCAGTCGCCCTGCTGCTGCTCCGCTCGTCGCTGCTGCGCTAATGCTGCGCTACTGCTGCCTGCTCCTCGCTCCTGCGCTCAGAATAGCGCCAGCGCTAATGTGCGCTGTACCATACCGTACCGGTGGAATGCCGGTAGGTCGATAGCCTCACTGAGGCTGAACCGGTACTTTTGTACCGGTGGGCAGAGGTCGGCCTCTATGCTGCAAGGCCTGACCGTGCCCTGAACCGTCCAGATGGACAGTTCAGCCCCAACCAGCGGGCGGCAGCCTCAAGAGCGCCGCCAGGCCCAAACGGTAATATGGTTTGGGCCGGCCCGTCGGGTCTGGTCCAAGGTAAGGCCTTTACGGCCTGTAGTACCCCCAAGGTCGGGCCTTTGGCCCTACTGTGTCCCTCTACCCCTATGTCGGGTCCGGTAGGACCCGTGTGGCGTCGAAGATGAAACAGTAGGTGACTCATACCGCAAGGATATTGCTCAGTCTTCTTTGCTTTCCTTCTCTTGTTGTTTCTTGTATTCTTGCTTGCCGGTAATAAGCAACCCGAGTGACGCCCCCCAGAATAGAAGGGGCTTGTGTTTTTTTTTTTTTGGGGGGGGAGGGAAAAAGAAGAAGAAGACACTTTCTCTACTGCAATGATGTGGGGCAGGGTAGTCTAGGAGGGCGTGCTCACAATAGTCCTCCACAGAACGAATCTTACCGGGAAAACGGTCAGATTGTGGATTGTCATTCTTTTTTTTTCTTTTCTCATTCTTATGATTCCCCTGCCAGTGAGGCAGGGCGGAATCCGCTGTCTGGTCAAGCTGTGTTTCCCAAGAGGAGTGTAACCATAATCACAGTGGAACTTCGAGTAATGTATCCAGCCAATTTCACCACCAAATACGTGCTTCCTTTTTTTCGTTTCTTCTTGGCCTTCTGGAATCTGACAACCTGGCCACGGGGCTCAGACGCCCTCAGTGAGGGCACACTCACACTACCACTTCCACGAATGTATACAACTACATTTCACAGGCAAAGCTTTTTTTTTTTTTTTTTTTTTTTCCTTCTGTGAGTTTCACGGCCGTGACTTTTCTTCTTCTTTTTTCTTTGTTCTTTCTGTGAGAGTACCAAAAAAGGAAATAGAGTGGGACACAGGCTCGGCAAAACTCGGAGTGCAGTGAAATTCAGGCTCGGCAAAAACAGGCTCGGAGGTACTTAAAAAAAAAAAAAAAAACCATCTGTACGGTCTGTACCGCCATTAGTTATTAGAGGTTTTCTTAAATCACACTGCCATAGCCCGGTCCTTCTAAGGTTCTTGATGAACACGGCAATCTTGACGAACACAGCTAATTGACAGTCATACCCCACAGGGAGCAATCAATGCTGTTCAGGGGCCTTTGGCCTTGACGAACGGAAGCGTAGACTGGATCAGACTATTACCCTATTCAAACTTGTCAATGGATAGGAATCATATTGGTCCCCCTAGAATGGACGTAGAGCCAGGACCATAAGGACATGTTTGATGGAGGAAAAAAAAACAAAAAAAACAGCTTACTCCAAGTAATCATGGCTTAGTTGTTGGGTGATACAACAATGCCATTTTAGTTATTGGCTGATGTCATCAGATGATGAGATTTCAACCGTCACTGTGTCAGATTCTGTATTTTCTTCCTTGGCCTATGTGGTTTTGCTCTTACACAAGACCTGGGTGATAACGAGCTCACTGTGTTGACACAAGCAGAAGCTAGTGGTGTAGTCAACGTACCTATTGTGAAATGGTTGCACTTTGTTGCTGGTTGAGGCCATTTCCGATGTCACTGTTTCGTGGAATTCACATTTTCTTCCACTTCTGATGCTTTGCTGTACATTCCTTTGCTCTTCCAAAAACATCTAGGGGCTCCTATGCTCATTCACTTTACGCAAGTGGTTGACGCTTCTTATCCTTGATGAAATTTATTGTCCTCTGAGCTGATTGCCAAGCTGCTCGAAGACCACACTCACACCAGGAAGTAGTCTGCCCACATATGGGTGTATTTGCAGTCTGGGGCAGCCACAAAAATTGTGGCACATACTGTAACTGGAAGATTGGAGATGCTGCGCTAGTACCTTTGTGACCTAGCATTTCAACATTATAGGCATGATTCAATTTTGGGATAGATAGCAGTCCAAGTATAAGCTGCAATCACCAGTTTGGGAAAAGAAAACAGGAAAACCTACCTTGTAGACGCTGGACAGCTGCATTCCTGAGAAACCTGCCAAAATGGCCTCCCATCCAGCTCTGTCCACCTCCTTTGTCTGCTGCACACCAACTGCAAGTTATCAGTTGCCCATTGAAGCAACAGAGAACAAGCAGTAAGCAAGGATGCAGGGGCATCCTAGCTGGTTGATTCCTCTGTCACTACTCCATGCCGCTCCGCGACCATTGGAAACTTACTGGCAGTTCCATGATGCCAGTTGCTATCAAAAAATTCAATCCATCTCTGCATGTCAGAGAGACGGGTAAAGAATGACCAGCACATTACTAGAATGCCAACAGTAACCAAAAGAGCGGACATGTCAACAAGACAAGCTCATAAACATCACTTTTCTACTGTCCTCCAATTTGTGATACTATGTGGCAAATCATTGACAAACAATAACCATATAGACGCCTGGTAGATTTGGATCACAATAACCCATGTATGAACAGACTCAGGCCCAGCTGGACTACCAATTTGCTGACCTGGCAAGAGTTTTAGTTGACTCTCAACTTTCCAATGAATCCATCCCCGACAGGACATAAAGCTCAGAGCCCTGTGAGGTTTGGAATCCTGTGCATAACTTCACATTTACACTATGTTGGTTTTATGGAACACAGGAACAATCATCCGAGGAAATATCAAGGTTCACCGACATTGGAAGCGCAAAATACAGCCTCTCAAGCTATGGAATCAAATGTCTATCCATCTGTTGCCAGCGTGAACATGGCATTAAAACCCAGAAAAAAGAGCAGGCGACTTCCCAGATAAGAAATGGCAATTATGGATGTGTCCATGCCCCATATGTAGGGTACCACGAAATTCATATGAACAATCCACTATCCACTGCTACAAATTGCTTGCACACTGTACAACTGAATTCCATGCGGGGTTTCTCGCTCGAAGGTGAACAGGCAAGCTCCCCTAGCACATGGAAATACCATTCAGAGGCCCAGATATTGTCACACTCACCAGGTTGATTTGCTATGCCAAGCAATAATCAAAGTCATGCAGGCAAACCACTGTTAGCACTACAGCTTAACGACTCTCACTTCAAACAACAGGGCGCAATCCCTTACCTCAACATTTGCAGCCTTGGTAGGGGTCATCATTTCATTTACTACACAAGGCGAGCTTGGTTCTGACTGCAAAGGGTAGCTGCTATCCAGTTTCCTTCTTTTGGGACTCCGGGACCCATCCTCCACTCCCTTCCCTTCCTTCTCCAAGTGGTGAAGCAAGTTCTGGTCAGCAACCTGTCATGGAGCACAATCGAGACCAACTATCAAACCTCTATGCAACACAAGCTCGGCTGGATGTGCTTCCAAATGGCAGACAAGTGTAGCCTGCTTATGGAGCCACTTTGCTTCTAGATACAGCATTATAGCTGTATATGGGACGACGTTGACGGTAGTGCTGCCTATACACAACACTCAAAATACGTCGACTTCACACTTGAGATGATTCCTCCACCTCTGGAAGCCCAATGGAAACCGACTAACAACCACTATGCAACATGACAAGCTTGGCTGCATAAACTTCCTACTGGCTAACAAATGTAGCCTACTCCTGCCGATGCACACTTCCACCTCGAGGTTCTTGCAGCAAATGAGAGGGAAGGGGGGAGAGGCAAGAAGAGTACTGCCACCTCAAGGAGTTTCTGAGCAAATGAGAAGAGGTGCAGAGGAAGGAGGGGCAGTAGAGCAAGAAGAGGGGGCGAGTGGAAAGCAAAGCAGGACAAAGAGGACATTCTGGGAGGAGAGAAAAGAGCAGGATTGCAAGAAGGGGGAGGAGCAGGCAGCAAAAGAGGGAGAAGTGGTGAACTGCTTGTTCACTTTTCACACGTTTTCAAGACAGACCTTCAAAAGGTTGAACCCAACTATGGCCTCAACGCAGGATGCACCGTTTTCACCCTCGCTCGAAGTCTTGAAGTAACATCTTGGGTGGAACCTGCAGGCACACAAAGCGCCACACGTCACAGACATCATAACGTCAAGCTCAATCCGTTCACTGGTAGCATCCCCACGGTTCCTTGTGAGCAACTCCTCGGCCACAAGCCAACAATCAGTGAACATATACATAGGACTCACACTGGCTCATGTGTGAGGGTCTCCTTGGAATATGTCTTCATTATGGTTCTGCCAAAACTCCCACTTAAAGCCATTCATCGCAATTGAAAAGAATGAAGAATAAGAAGAACCCCAGATTTGATCAGTGTCTCCTCCTTTCTTCTCTCCACCTCCATCATCATCCCGCACATGACAACTTGAACTGCAGCAGGCAATGAAACATAAGCAGAAGGCTCAAGAATTCATGACAGCATCACCAAACAAACATCATCACCCGTTACCATTCAGTGAAGGAGACCCTGTGCAGGTAATCAGTGATCAGTTCTTGATGGAGGAAATATCGACGAAGTTGCTGCCGAAGTGTTTGGACCTTGGAAGATTCTGCATGTTGCCGGAGATAATCCTGAAGGGCCATCCTATGTGAAAGAAGTACCACAGCAGCGACAGCACTTAAACCACCAATACTTTTTCCAGCCAAACTGGTCGTCCTTTGCAGCAGACGCTCATCGAAGATGCGGACAGTGTAATCACCCACACTGACCGCATGAGTCGTCTACTCGATCAGTTTGTTACATGCACGAACCAGCCATTCAGTCTGGTTGAGAACATGTACTTCGGCGAGTTCGTCCACGGGGTCAAGATGGCGCATCCTCCAAAGGACAAAGGCAGATATACAAAGAATGGTGGGGAAGTGGGCTGCATGCTGCAATTGGATGGCTGGTCTGACAGGTGCAAAAGACCTCATCTCAATATCATGGTTTCATACCCAATTGGGACAGTATACTGAAAGTCTGTGTGGATGGAGGGGAAGGACAACAACTCCAGAGCGTACTTCCAACTATTGGGCAGCGTAATCAAGGAGATCAGGTTGCAAGCAGTCGTGGCCATTATCATGAACAACGTCAGGGTGTGCATCAAGGCATGGAAGATGGTGAAGGCTGCCTGCCCTCGAATCTTTAGTGTGCGCTGCACCGTGCATGCTGGGATCTTGCCCTCAAAGATCTGTACAAGAAGTTGGGGTGGTTGGCGGAGGTGGTCAACGCAGGAAACAAGATGTGGGCAAATTTTTCACTATTGTGGATAAGGTCAAGGCCCTGTACCACAAGTACTCCCCGAAAATGAGGTTGCCGCAGTCAGCTGTCATACAATTTGCAACGAACCATGACATCCTCGATTCCTCGAAGAAGGGGAAGAGTCCGCTTGATAAGGGTGTGTGACCCAATGTGGGAAGCAAACATGGTGAGTGCGGATCAGGTCCCAGCCTTTCATGAAGTGACAGCGATCCTATCAGGGGAGGACTTTTGGGGGGAGAACGTCGACAAGGTGCTTGCCGCGATGCACCCGGCAGTGGAGGTGCTGCGGTTGCTGGACGGCCTGGGTGCTACGATCTCCAAAGTGCATTTCAGGATGGACGTCGTCATTGGACGAAAATCGAACTTGGATTGCGTGACAGCAGAGGAGAAGGACGATATCGAAGACAGTTTGATGCAACGCTGGTCGGATCTGGATTGTGACATGGAGGTCCGAGAGGGGTTAAACATTTTGCAACGCTGGTCGGATCTGGATTGCAACATTTGGCTCTACTCGTGGGGGCCGAATGACATGCTCAACGACATCAGCAAGCAAGTCAATAAAGGGGTGCGCTTGGATGGAGTCGTTGATATGTTGGAGGCAGTGGCAGCGGCACGCGTGCAACCACCCGCATTGTGGTGGGAGGCTTTTTGCCCGAACACCCAGCTGATCAGGAAGGTCGTCATGGTGGCATGAACGATGTGCACATCCCATGGGACGACGATGTTCCGATCGAGCAGGAGGTGGAGGAGTAGTACAAGAGTTGGGTCGAGCGGGTGGGAAAGAATGTTCATGTTGGCGGAGATGATTTGGAGGTTGGAGAAGACAATGGACACGAACAAATGATGTGAATGTGGCAGTGCAACAACGAAGAGGACAACGGGAATGTGAGGATGTGGCCATCTATGGCATACTCAGCTCCACACGGGCTCAAAAGGGCCCGACCAGGTAGGCAAGGGGTCCGCAGAGGTAGGGTCTGTGTCGTTTCGACCCTCAGTAGGGTCCGCAGGGTCGGTAGGCCAGTTTTCGGCCTGAGTAGGACCAGTACCAGTTGAGAGGCCTTGTAGGCCTCGTTTTGGTTACAAGCCCTGGCGCACGCTTTGGTTCCAAGGCTGTGACTTTGAGGTCGCGCCGTTTCGGTAGGCGCTGGAGGCCCAGCCTCAGTTTGGGGGCCAAACTTTCTAGGCCCAGCCTCAGTTTGGGCGCCACAACTCAGCAATTGAGGTCCACCCAACACTATATATAGCTGGGTCCAGCCTCAGTTCGGGCAGTCAGTAGACAATGGAGGTGAGGCATACTTCAGACGACGACAGTGCACCAGTAGTCGACGATAGGACTAGTTTTCCACCGATGTTCTCATAGAGTAGAGTTGTGCAGAGAAGGGGGAGATGGTGATGACAGCCAGGGGACTTAACTGCGTGACCAGCCTCATCTTCAGCACGTCCGCACCTGCATCAAGGCACCACCTTTCGCAGGCCAGTACATGGTATAGAGAGAGAGAGAGAGAGAGAGAGAGAGAGAGAGAGAGATCTTCTTCTACCTCCTCCAATCAACCACCTTCTTCTTACCCTCCCAGCGCTCTGCTTCTTATCCGGCTGTGATAGAGAGAGAGAGAGATTGAGGACACTTGGGATTCATACTCGACATTTGGACAGAGACGTTGGGGACTACCTGGGATTGATATCAGCAACATTTGGGTTGACGACATTCTCATATCTTCCCCCTTCTCCTTCGTCTCTTCCCCCTCCTCCTCATTTGTGTATGAGTTACGCCTGGGCTCTTTGTCCTGTGTGCGGCGCCGGGCCATTCACAGTGTGTGATGATGATGATGTATGTCCTGTCGACCTTTTGACATTGGTTGGGTTTGATCATTTGTACTCTAGCTTTCCCCAATGCTATCCTGCTCCATCTGTGAGAGGTCGGTTCTTCGTTCTGGTCTGTACCATCTTGGTATGCGACAGTTTGGTATCGAAGCAGACCTCTCGAAAGAGGATCTGCCCAATCAAGGAACCAACTTGATTGATCGATTGGTTGACTGATTGATTGATTGATCAATGAAGTAGGGATTCGTCAAATTTCGGCAAAAAAAAAATTATATTCTAGTCAAGTTGTCACCTTGATTAGCAATAGTTAACACTAACCCCGGATTTGCGCTAATCGCAAATTAGCACTAATCCGCGATTAGTGTTCTAACCCTAATCAAGATTAACAACTAATTAACGGATTAGAGTTTTGCAAGTTCTTTTTTTTTCTTTCGTACGCTACTAATTCTGAAGTTTGAATTTTCGGCACGTGCCGTTCCGATACTCTCGAAAATTCCAAAATTTTCAGCATTTCGCAAAATCCGCGAATTTCAGAGTCCCGAAAATTTGAAATTCAAGCATTTTGCAAAATCCGCGTATTCCGCGAATTTCGAAAATCCCAAAATTTTCAGACATTCCGTGAATTTTGCGAAAACCGTGTCCAATCGGACTTAGGGTTAAAAATAAGGTTATGACGGATTTCGTTTTTCAAAACTCGTGAATTTTTTTTCAGTAAGTTATTTCGTAATTTTCTCTCTAAAATCGAAGTAAATTATTCCGCGATTTTCAACACGGAATTCTTGTTACGACATCCGTCTCCTCAAAATCAAAATAATTCCGAGAAATTCTTTTTTGGAAATTTCCACGAACATTGTGAACCTTTTCTAATACCATTAACGAGTGAGATTTGTTTCATTTGATTAACAAACGTTTTTCAAATTCCGAATGTTACCCTTTCTACTGGTCGTTATCTAATAGATGCCTCCCTAATTCTCAAATCGGCAAATTTCGAAAAAAAAAAAAAAAAAGATCTTTTTCTTTTTCATTTTTTTTTGTTGATTAGTACCCGGGATTGGAAATTGCAGTCGAGTGCTTGCCTGTCTACATGTTTTCTTCCCACCTCTCTTAGTACTACGACAGCGCCACGTTAGCAAGTGCCACATCAACAAGTGCCACATCAGCAGCAGGGCCACGTTAGCAAGGCCGCATCAGCCGACAAAGTACAGCTAACCGTCGCTTATGATCCGACGCAGCAAACGAATCGCAGCACGTGAAGGGCGAGCAGCCGCAGGAGAACAGCAGCTACCCCAACCCCTCCCCTCCAAAACGGAAGCACAAGGCAACCCCATGGTGGACAACACTGCATACGGCAGTCAACGCGAGGGAAGCCGTACGAACCCCCTGGTCCCACAGGTCCAGCAAGTGAGTTCCACTGCGCCAGCTGCGGGAGCCCTCAACATTGCGCCAGCCCGGCAGCAAGGTGAGACCATGACGGTCTTCTTGGCCCGCCTGGCCACCTACATGCAACAAGTACAAGAGGAACAACGATGCGAGGCGGCAGCCTAAGCCGCACGCCTCAACGCCATTGCACGCAACGCAGAGCAATGGCGCCGGCAGCACGCTGAAGCAGCTGCCAACCATAACAAAGCTCGACAAGATGATGCATCAGTCCTCATGCAGCAGGAAGCCACTCATACCGCCGCACTCGAAACACAAAATTTCGATCCAGCAGCGACGCACACGGAACCAACTGCGGAGGAACAAACCAAGTCAGCTCTTGCCAATATGATGTACCAAGTCATCCTCACTTGTAACAAGCAACAAGTGGAGCTGGCCCGACAGGCACATTTCATTTCCGATTATGAGGAGAGTCTCAAGAGCCTCCATGCCAGCCTTGACGTTCTAGAGAAGGATGACGTACCTCACAGGCACACGGCATCATTAAGCATTGATCCATCGATCCACAAGCTGGAGGAACGAATGGATCACGTGGTCCCGCCCGTCGACA